CGCTGCGCTGCTGCTGCTGAGACGTTTGCGCTGTGCTCGAGAAGCGAGGGCGCGCGCCGCGGGAGACGCCGTCGACGAGGAGGCCGTTTTGGGGTCGTCGGCGAAGAGCCTCGCCGCGGAGCTGAGCATCGTGTTTCACGCGGCCGGCTGTCATGATGGTCAAGAAGCCGATTGTGCTGTGGACTGCGCTGTACCTTGCTCCTGGTGTATTCCATCCTCTATCTGTTCTTCCAGGCGTATCCCCGTGATTTTTCAAGGTACGTGCCCATGGGTCTTTGGATCGTTCCGCTCTTTTGAGAGTGGCTTCTTCGCTAATTGTCCTATTCTCTCAAGGGGTGTACGACTTGTCGCCGGGCATGATCGGCCTGGGCTACCTGCCGAGTACGTTGACCCACCCAGCAGACAACTCCTGACTGTCCGCATGACATGCTGACGCGCTGACGCGCCGCCGCAGTCCTCGCCGGTATCCTGCTGGCCCTCGCCGGCGTCTTCATCTACGACGCCCAGCTCGCCAAATACCAAGCCAGAGGCTCCCGCTGGGCGTCCAACGAAACGCATCGCCGCCTGCCGCTGGCCTACATAGGCGGGCCCCTGTTCGTCTCCTCTGATCCTTCGTCCCTCTTTGCCCTTTTCTTGCCAAGCATCTTGCCGGGCATCTTTGAAACACCACAAATGCTGATCCCTCTCACGACAGCGTCACACTCGGCCTCTTCTGGCTCGGCTGGTCCTCGACCCGCACAGTCCACCCGGCGGTGCCCCTACTGTCAGGCCTCCCCTTTGGCGCGGGCTACATGCTCATCTTCGTGGCCATGGTGAACCACCTGTCGGACGCGTACCGCGAGTTCTCGGCCTCGGCCCACGCGGCCGCCAGCACGACGCGGTCCCTGGCCGCCGCCTTCCTGCCCGTCGCCGCGGCGCCCATGTACGCCGCGCTCGGCGTGCCGTGGGCGTGCTCGCTGCTCGGCTTCGCCGCGCTGGGCCCTCGGCGCCGTGCCCTTTTGTCTTTGTCCGCTTCGACGCGCCCATCCGCCGGCGGAG